GTGGGGGAATGGGTTAGCCTGGTGAATAGTATTAAAGAGGGCACATTCTGCGTGGAGCACTGGGTGTTATGCACGAACAATGAATCATGGAACACTACATCAAAAATTAATGATGTAATGTATGGTGATTAACATAACAATAAAAAATTATAAAAGTCAGATGGATGTTCAACCAATTGAGCCACCGAAGCGCCCCCTTTTAGATATTTAATTCGTAAGCATGTATAGTAGGTTTTGCATATTTAAAAAACTAAGTAGACTTATACTGTTTTTCTTTACTTACTCATATATCATGGACACAGAACAACTGAGCAAATCAAATCCTTAATTTTTTGCATTTCAGTATCAAAGGCACACAAAATTTGTAAATGACTATATTTTATACTATGGTGGCAAAAAAGAAGACTTTAGGCGATTGGGGTAAGTGTCATGAAATTTACATAGAATTGGAGGAAATTATGGATGTCTTTAAAGACCCACAGCTACTGTGTCTTCTGATTCTGTCATTCTCTCCTGCTTTCCATTCCAATTTCCTTATAATATCCTGAAGTGAAGAGGCTATCTATAACTTCTTGCTAAGTACCTCATCATGAACCCCATTTCTCTGGCAACAGGCCTCAGGTAGCCTGCTGAGCCAGATCTGTGTTTGGTGAGGTTATGTGAGGAATATTCATGTGCCTGATTATGCAGTAAATTTTTTTTTTTTTTTTTTTGGGCAAGGATCTTTGAAATAATTAACTTTTTAGACCTTAGTGTTTGGGATTGCTTTTTAAAAGGTAGGGCAAACAGGAAAAAAGCCAACTCCTTCCTAATATTTGAGGCTCTTCTATCAGAGCCTCTTGGTTATGTGTGGGTTTTTTTCTCTGACAATAATTTTCTGAGTTTGGTAGAGCCTTAAAAAACTTTATATGATCTCATCTACCCCAAATTTATCTCCCTTCTCAATTTAGTCTGTATTCTCCAGCAATCCCTTGTTCTACCCCCAAACTGTTAGCATCTTAAAATATCATCCCTTCCCCCCATTCTCTTCTGCCCTTACTTAGTCTTTCTAGGAAGCCATAGTAAAATGAGGTATGGAAAACTCTTCATACAGGTTTTTTTTTTTTTAAAGATTTTATTTTTTTATTTGACAGAGAGACACCATGAGAGAGGGAACACAAACGGGAGTGGGAGAGGGAGAAGCAGGCTTCCTGCCGAGCAGGGAACCCCATATGGGGCTGGGTCCCAGGACCCTGGGATCATGCCCTGAGCCAAAGGCCGATGCTTAATGACTGAGCCACCCAGGCGCCCCTTCATACAGTTTTTTAAATGTGATCTCAGTGGGATGGGGTTACTGACATTTTTTAGATTCTAAAACTTACTTTCATTATTTTTCCTTATCCACTTAGTGTTTATTCAGGTTTCTCATCCTGGCTTTGGTGATTTAGCACCATCTGTATAATTGAAGCCAATATGAAAGGTGGATGGATGCCTTATCCACTTAACTTGCTTCTATAGCAGCACTCTTTATAAGTGTCTTGAAAATATGGAAATTGTTTTTTTTTTTAAAGATTTATTTATTTGAGAGATAGAAAGAGAGCGAGAGAGAGCAGGAGTGGAGAGGAGAGGGAGAAGCAGGCTGGATCCCAGGACCCTGGGATCATGACCTGAGCAGAAGGCAAACGCTTAACCAACTGAGCCACCCAGGTGCCCCAATATGGAAATTGTTTTTATAAGTATATGTACATATGTATATATTCACACATAAAACTGTCTTAATCTTCATGTATTTTTTCTCAAGTGTTAAAAAAATCTCACAGAACTAACCTCCTAAATTTGACTAATTTTGTGTTTATATGTAATTGAAATAGTTTTATTTTCCAGGGAAAATGACAAGACAGACATGGATGTTATACGAGAAAATCATAGATTCCTATGGAATGAGGAGGATGAAATGAACATGAATTGGTAATTTTTGCCATCTGAGACGTAATGCATAAATTGCTTTAGTCCTGTCTCTCCTGCTCTCTCCGTGTTTTCTTACCCTGTCAGCTGTCCAGGGCATTCAGCCCCGGCATGGAGGAGCTCTGAATGGAGGACATAAAAACATGCCTCAGAGTATTTGTGTCTGGTTTGGTTCTTTTGGTAATTTTTAGCAATTTTAACTGACTTCTCATTGCTTGACTTTGTCTTGGAAAGAAAATGTATTACATTTTTACTGTATTGTTTGTTGTCCTGTAATAGGCTTTTTAAAAAAATTTTTAAATATTTTGGGGAAAAGTAATACCTGAAAGTGGTTTTAAGAATGCAAACATTGCAAAAGGTGAAAAGCGAGGAGTAAGACTCCTCTCCTCTGTCAGTCTTCCAGTTTCCCTCCCTGAGAGAGCCACTATTAGTAGTTAATATTCAGGTATTCTATGCACATGTAAGTAATAGACCTCTTTTAAAACATTAATATTTATATCATATATTTTATTTATTTGACATTGCTTCCAAGTAGCAAACTGTGGTTGAATTTCTAAATGTAAAAAATTTATGTTTTTTTTATGGATCTAGGGAGAAGAAACTTGCAAAGAAATACTATGATAAATTATTCAAGGAATACTGCATAGCAGATCTCAGTAGATACAAAGAAAATAAGGTATGCCTTTCAAATATTTATAGAAGGTTCTTATTTAAGTACAGTATTACTTTTTGTTATACTGTGACACCCCACATTATTCTTTTAAAGGTACTAAATGAGCTAGGTTGTCCTGCATCTATGAAATATCATTTGGACCATTTAACCTCTGCAGCTATGAAATTTACAAAGGGCCCCTTAGTCAGGGGTGCTTTGTGAACTGAGGCATGAATAGTCTAAAATTAAACACAAGTGGCTACTGGATCCTGTTTCCTCCTGACTCTGGCCTAGAGCCTCTACTGATTATAATGAATGATTTGACACTGCAGAATGATGTCTTGTTTCATAGATGATGTTTGAAAATGATAGGCTTTTTTTTCAAATAAATTACCATCTGTAAAGAGGCAGATGCACATCTTCTTTTATACCAATGTCTATTCTAGTAGAATTAACTCTTATTAGTGCTATTTAGTAATGGCAGGTTTCCGTTCCTGCTTTACATCTTACTTTAGTTGATACTAAAGTGATTTTTATTTCTATCGCAAACTTCACATTTGCAGCTAGAGAAGGTGACCTGGAACAGATGATCTCAGTTTGAAATGGGAGAGGGAATGTTGCATAAATCTGTATGTTTTGGATAGTGTATATTTGTATTAAGACAGACAATCTATTTAAAAAGTTGTCTTAGATTTATTTATTATAAGAATTTCTTTTTCATTTAATTAGTTAAATCTCAGAACCATGATTGGTTTAATATTTTTTTCCATAGTGCCTTTAATATGTGGGTTGCTTCACAATATTCTTACAGATAAGAGTGTCCAGTTTTACAATCCTATTTACAAACCCATGCACATCATGTATCCCAAAGACTTCCTCCGTTTCTTAGGAGCTAGCTCTCCTCTCTGTACTAGTTATTGATCACATCAAATCCAAAAGGCACCACGAGGAGTTACTTGAAGTTACTACACTGCAAGTTGAGTATGAAATACAATCTTTCTAGGAGCACATAATAAAGCAGCTTTTTCATTGCTGGCTCATTTGTTGGTTGCTTTTCAGTATTAAGGGCTGGGCAGGGTGCTGTGAATTAAAACATGACTGCTGTTCAAAAAAAACCCAAAACTATAATCTAGTTGAGGGGAGAAAGTGTACATAAAACAATTAAATATTTGTATTCTCCATTCAAAAAACATAATATATTACTGGAAAACATAAAGAGGATACTCTTGAAACAAATTATATTTTCTTATTAGAACATGATGAATAATTACGTATGAGGGTAAATCCAAGTAAGAAATCAGAAATAGGAAATGTGGAATGAGGCAGATGCTTTTTTTTTTTTTTAACTGTTTTTTAGGGGTAGTTTTAAGTTCACAGCAAAATTGAGGGGAGGGTACAGAGATTTCCCATAAACCCTTTACCCCATACGTGTGAAGGGTATCGTTTCTAAAGGAAAAGATGACTGTTTTTTGGCATACCATGTTTAAGAATGGTGCCTTTGATTCCTTGCTAGGATGCGTTTTCTCATAGTTTTATTTATACAAAGAGTGTTTTATTCACTTTTTACTAATCAGCTCCTTGCTCACTGCTTATTACTTGGGGCATTTTTAGTGAATTCCAGCCTTTGTCCCACACACCTATCCCCTTCCTTATTACTTCTTCCCTTTCATCATTGAGAATTTGGTTGAATTGTTGCATCAGTTAGGATTAGAATCAGCTGCAAGGACTGACGCACTCTTAAATAATACTGACTTAAATGAGCTAGAAGTTTATTTTTCTTCTACATAGAAGTCCAAGTAGATGGTGATGGAACTTTGTGTTTTCAGGAAGTTAGGATCTGTTTGTCTTATTGCTTGAATGTGTGATCTCTGTGCTAGAGGGTAAAGTAAGAGAAGGAGGCTTAGCACCAAATCCTGAGTAACTCCAGTATTTAATCCAGCCTATCAGCAGGAAAATGTATGTCAGGAAAGAATATAAAAACTCACTGAGGCAAAACCTCTATACAACCTTTAACTAGTAGGACATACTGTATTTGTTTGTTATATTTCTTATCCCCTATAAGATTATAACCTTCCTAACAATAGACACTATTTTCACAGTCATCTTATATCTTTAGCAGAGTGCCAAGCCCTGTAAGTAGTTGCTTAATACTTATTTGTTGAATAGATTAATGAATGGAAGAAAAAGTTGGGAAACTATTGCTGTACACATTTGTCTGTGCTTCAGTGGACATCCCAACATATATGTTGGATGGCAAGCAATCCTTACATACAAGTATAGGCTTAAAAATAGAACTAAACAGTTATTTTTGATGTTTTATTTTTTTTCCTAGACTGGAGGGGGGTTTATTTTTATTGGATTTTAATCAGAATATTTTCAAATATTTGAGCCCCCAGTTGCATTTAAACTACAAAATTGCCTAATTCATATAGTAGGCGATAAAATAAAAATGGACCGTTAACTAGGCATTGAACATTTCATCTGAATTATCTCTCTTAATACAATAACCTTTAAGATTGAGGTTTTTATACATAAAAAGGAAGTAGACTGAGAAGTTAAGAGACTTTCCAAGGCCACAGAGCTAGTTAATGAATGGTAGAGCTTACATTGGTTCTGCATGATTGTAGAGCTGAGCTTTTAAGTATTATAATAAACTGAATAGAAAACGAAATCATTTACTAAACCTACAGAAAATTAGCATATGGGTATGAAAGATCTTAAAAAGGCAGTGGAGAAAAATTATTTTTAGCCAAAAAACAAAGTTACGTTTAGGAATCTGGAGGGAAGTTTAACAACTTTCCACATTAGGACTCCAGAGGGTCCCCTTTCTCTTTCATGTTCATCACTTTGCCAGTGGGGAAAGAGCCATACATGAATGAATGATTGTGGTTGTGTTCCAATAAAACTTTATAAAATAGGCAGCAGGCCATAGTTTGCTAACCTCTGGGATACTATGTACCAGGTACTATTCTAAGTACTATTCTATTCTCAGGTACTATTCCATTCTGTGTATTATCCCATTTGAACCTCTTAGTCCAAAGAAGTAGGTATTATATTATCTTTACATTACATACGAGGAAACTGAGGCATAAGAACGTTAAATACCTTGTCCAGTATTATAAAGCTGTTAAGTGGTGGAGCTAAGATGTAAACCCAGACAATCCAGCTCTTTTACACTGTAGTATATTGCCTCTTTACTGGACCATAACCTCTTTTTTTTTCTGTCAGTGTCATAAAACAAGATACATATTTTTTATTAATTTAGGTATTGTGCCCTAGTACTTGTATCTTTTATTAGGTAGTTTAAAAGTAAAGAAGAGGGGCGCCTGGGTGGCTCGGTTTGTTAAGCGTCTGCCTTTGGCTCACGTCATGATCCCAGGGTCCTGGGATCGAGCCCAGGATTGGGCTTCCTGCTCAGCAGGGAGCCTGCTTCTTCCTCTCCTCCTAGGTTGTTCTCTCTGTCGCTCTCTCTGTCTCAGTCTCTCAAATAAATAAATAAAAATCTTCAATAAAAAAATAAATAAAAGTAAAGAAGATTATTCCTTAACAGAAAAGTTGGTAATTGTTCAAATGTATTTTTAAATACCTGGAATCCTATAAGGAGAAAAAAAGCTATCACAATGAGAATTAGGTTTGCTTCCTCTTTTTTTTTTTAACTTTTTATTTTAATCACCCGGTGCTCATTACAAGTACACTCCTAATCTGCATCACCTATTTAACCATACCTCACCTCCACCTCCCTGCTGGTAACCATCAGTTCTCTATACATAAGAGTCTGTTTTTTAGTTTGTCTTTCTCTTTTTTTCCCTTTGCTCATTTGTTTCTTAAATTCCACATGTGAGTGAAATCATACAGTATTTGTCTTTCTTTGACTGACTTATTTCACTTAGCATTATACTCTAGCTCCATCCATGTTGTTGCAAATGGCAAGACTTCATTTTTTATGGCTAAATAATACTCCATTGTGTGTGTGTGTGTGTGTGTGTGTGTGTATTACATCTTTATCCATTCATCAGTTGATGGATACTTGGGTTGCTCTCATATCTTGACTATTGTAAATAATGCTGCTGTAAACCAAGGGGTGCATGTATCCCTTTGAATTAGTGTTTTTGTTTCTTTTGGTAAATACCCAAATAGTGCCATTGCTAGATTGTAGAGTAGTTCTATTTTTAACTTTTTGAGGAACCTCCTTACTGTTTTCCAGAGTGGCCATACCAGTTTGCATTCCCACCAATGGTGCATGAGGGTTCCCCTTTCTCCACATCCTCACTAAAACCTGTGTTGTTTTTAGCCATTCTGACAGGTGGGATATGATATCTCCCTGTAGTTTTGATTTGCATTTCCTTCATGATAAATGATGATGAGCATCTTTTCATGTGTCTGTTGCCCATCTGTATGTCTTCTTTAGAGAAATGTTTGTTTGTGCCTTCTGCCCATGTTTTAATTGGATTATTTGTTTTTTGGGTGTTGAGTTGTGTAAGTTCTTTATATATTTCAGATACTAACTCTGTATCAGACATGTCATTTTCAGATATCTTCTCTCATTCTGTAGATTGCCTTTTAGTTTTGTTGATTGTTTCCTTCACTGTGCAAAAGCTTTTTATTTTGATTTAGTCCCAATAGTTTATTTTTGCTTTTGTTTCCCTTGCCTCAATGGACCTATCTAGAAAAAAGTTGCTATGGCCAATGTCGGAGAAATTATTGCCTATGCTCTTTTCTAGGATTTTTATGGTTTCAGGTCTTTAATCCATTTTGAATGTATTTCTGTGTATGGTATAGGAAAGTGGCCCGGTTTCATTCTTTGGCTTGTTGCTGGCCAGTTTTCCCAACACCATTTGTTGAAAAGACTTTTTCCCATTAGATATTCTTACCTGCTTTTTGAAAGATTAATTGACCATATAATTGTGGGTTCGTTTCTGGGTTTTCTATTCTGTTCCGTTGATCTATGTGTCTGTTTTTGTGCCAGTACTGTGCTGTTTGTAATGTAACTTGGAAGTCTGGAATTGTGATGCCTCCAGCTTTTCTTTTTCAAGATTGCTTTGGCTATTCAGGGTCTTTTGCGGTTCCACACAAATTTTAGGATTGTTCGTTCTAGTTCTGTGATAAATGCTGTTGGTATTTTGATAGGGATTGCATTAAATGTGTAGATTTCTTTGGGTAGTATAGACATTTTAACAATATTTGTTCTTCCAGTCCATGAGCATGGAATGTCTTTCCATTTCTTTGTGTTTCTTCACTTTATTTCATCAGTGTTTTAGTTTTCAGAGTACTGGTCTTTCACCTCTTTGGTTAGGTTTATTCTTAGGTATCATATTATTTTTGGTGCAATTGTAAATGGGATTGTTAATATCTCTTTCTCTTGCTTCATTATTGGTGTATAGAAATGGAACAGATTCTGTACTTTGATTTTATATCCGGGGACTTGATTGAATTTGTTGATCAGTTAGTCATTTTTTGGTAGTCTTCCAGATTTTCTATATCTAGTATCATGTCATTGCAAATAGTGAAAATTTTACTTCTTCCTTACTGATTTGGATGCCTTTTATTTCTTTTTGTTATCTGCTGTGGCTATTTTGTGAGTTGCTTGACTGGTGTTTTTCAGAAATAATTCATTTTTACTGCTTTTGTGTTTCCTACCTTCATACTCTCATTTTTGGTTTTTCATTTCCTCTCAAGAAGTCCACCTTTATTTATTTATTTTTTAAAAGATTTTATTTATTTGACAGAGAGAGACAGAGACAGCGAATAGAGGGAACACAAGCAGGGGGAGTGGGAGAGGGAGAAGGAGGCTTCCCACCGAGCAGGGAGCCCAGTGCAGGGCCCGATCCCAGGACCCTGGGATCATGACCCAGGCCGAAGGCAGATGCTTAATGACTGAGCCACCCAGGCGCCCCAAGTCCCCCTTTATTTTATTTTATTTTTTTAAACTCTTTTTTTAAAAATTTTATTTATTTATTTATTTATCATAGAGAGAGAGAGAGTGCACAAGCAGGGGAATGGCAGGCAGAGGGAGAAGCAGGCTCCCTGCTGAGCAAGGAGTCCGATTTGGGACTCAGTCCCAGAACCCCGGGATCATGACCTGAGCCAAAGGCAGACGCTCAACTGATTGAGCCATCCAGGCGTCCCTCAAAGAGTCCCCTTTAATATTCCTTGCAAGGCTGGTTGAGTGGTCATGACCTCCTTTAGTTTTTGTTTGCCTGGGAAACTTTATCTCTCCTTCTATTCTGAATGGTAGCCTTGCTGGATAGAGTATTTTTGGCTGTAGGTTTTTTCTATTCAGTACTTTGAATAGATCATGCCATTCCTTTCTGGTTTGGAAAGTTTCTGCTGAAAAATCTGCTGATAGCCTTATGGGGTTTCCTTTGTATGTAACTGTCTTGTCTTGCTGCTTTTAATATTTTTTCTTTATCAGTCTATTTTGTCATTTTAATTATACTATGTCTCGGCATGGGTTTGCTTTTGTTGATTTTGTTGGGGGTTCTCTTTGCCTTCTGGATGTGGGTAACTGTTTCTTTTCCCACAGTAGGGAAGTTTTCAGCTATTATTTCTTCTAATAAATTCTCTGCCCCCTTTTCTCTTCTTCTAGGACTCTACTATAATACAAATGTTACTACATTTGATGGAGTCACTGAGTTCCCTAAGTCTGTTATCACTTTGCATAATTTTTTTCTCTCTTTTGTTCATCTTGATTACCTTCCACTACTCTGTTCTCTAGGTCATTAATTCGTTCCTCTGCTTCTTCTTGCCTGTTGTTTATTCCATCGAGAATGTTTCTCATTTCATTTATTGAGCCCTTTATCTCTGCTATGTTATTCCTTATCTCTGTGTTTCAATGATGCCTTCCACTCTTTTCTCAAGTCCAGTGAGTTTCCTTATGATCATTGCTTTAAATTCTTCATCAGGCATGTTACTTATATCTGTTTTGCTTAGATCTCCATCTATGACCTTGTCCTGTTCTTTCATTTAGGACAGATTCCTCTGTCTTCTCATTTTGTCTAAGTCTCTGTGCTTGTTTGTGTGTTAGGAAAGTCAGCTCTGTCTCCTGTTCTTGAGGGTACTGGCTTTATGAAGAAGAGGTCCTGTAGTGCCCTGCAGTGTAGTGTCCCCTATTCTCCAGGGCTTGGTGCTTCTGGGAGTGTCTCCTGGGGGTACTACATGCACTCTGCTTTTGTGTCCTGGCCGCTTTATCTTTCAGGCCAGTTGTCTGCAAAGGTTCTCTTTGCCTGTCATAGGCAGTGTTTGGTCTCTGGCCTGAATGTGGTACGTTTTAACTAGGTATGCTCTGGTCTGCTTGTGAAATGAGACCTGTCATTGACGCTACCAGAACCAAGGCCTTGCAAGACTCCCGGGTAGGGAGACATGGTGTGGAAGGGGTTTGGGCTAGTCGTCTAGGGAAGGGGGCCCGCTGTGCTGGGACAGAGGCAAGTGTGCCTGTGAAGCAGGGATTCTCTGGAGCATGGGGACGGGTAGGGCTTGGTGTAAGCAGGTTAGATAGTGAGGGTCAGCACTGCACTGGTTTCCACAGGTGGCCCTGTGTTTATGCCGAGGGGCAGGGAAGGGAAGTGGTGCTGGCCAGTTTCTTTATCCCCAGAGGGGTCTTTCTGTGAACACTGCCTTGCTGGGACATGCTCAGAGATGAGCAACTGACCTCTGCACTGTGTGCCCCAGGCACTCTTCAGATCACTGTTTCTGTGCTGTATATCCATGGGGTGTTTGACCTGCCTTTTGTCCAAGAGCAGCCCCAGTGTCCTCCAAGTTGTCCCAGAGCCAAGCATGCTGACCTTTAAAACTCCAGGCTTTTGGAGTTGCAAGAACTCACCAAATTTTGCCTCCCTTGTTTTCCAAGCCAATTGCTATGTGGATTCATTTGCCCCACGCGCTCCCCCGTGTGCTAGTCTGTCTCTCGCCCTTCTCCCTGACCATAGCTCCCTCCCCACCAGCCACAATCTGTTTCTCTCCAAAGCCACATCTCCACACTTTCTACTTACTTTGATGTGGCCTCTTCTCTAACGTTTAGTTGTGAAGTTTGTTCTGCCAGTCTACAGATGGATTTCTGGGGTATTTAGGATAACTTGATAGTTACCTAGTTGTATTCATGGGACAAGTCAAGCCTAGGGTCCTACTGTGCTGCCATCTTCCCTTACTGGTGAATTAGGTTTGCTTTTTAGATTGGTAAATGTCATGTCAATTGTTGGCTGTATGTTTAGATGTATATACAGTTTAAGTAGTGTTTAAATTTACACTGGCATAAATGTAATTTTTTTCTCATTAGTTTGGATTTAGGTGGCGAATAGAAAAAGAAGTAATTTCAGGAAAAGGTAATTCTTTTTTGAAATTTTACTTTTTAATAGAATAAGGTTATTTTGTTGTATTATTGAAGTCATTGGGTAAGATTATTCTTCATTATACAATAAATGGTTATCTATAAAAGTAAAATTAGAGACAATGTATTCATGATATTTTACTAGCAAAGGTCAAAATATAATGCTTTAGTGATTTTTACCTTTATATTTTTGCTTTTAGAGCATTCAATGGAGATTAAGTAGAAAATGTTTAAAGAGTTAAACTAATAAAGGATGAATACTTGAGTTTTTCTTTTTATCAACTTTTGGAATAATGAGTTGGTATTACTGTATTCCAGTCTAATCAGATTTTGAATGTAGAGATTAAATATCACTTTGAAACTAATAGAATTTTTGGATAGGCTAGTTCTTACTTTGGGATGTAATTGAGATTGAGCCTGAATATTTAGTCTTATGGCAAAAGATCAAACATTTGGTAGGCAATCAATAAATGCTTTTTATATGCATTGTTGTAATCTACTCATAAATCTCTGAAAAATTAATATCTTTGTACTGTCTTATGATATAAAAGCTCTTTATTGATAAGTGCATTTTAAAGTGTTAATGCTTCTGAAAACTACAAAAGAGCATTTAGGAAATAATTTTAAACTAATAACTTAAAGAACCTTTAAACTGAAAATAAAGGTTGCACTTTAAAATGATTAAACATTGATGCCATCATTGTGGATCATTTACATCTTCCATAAATTGGATGTCTGTGTGAAGTATAAAACTGGATTTGCAATAAAATAAAATTAAGGAATAGGATTTTTTTTTTTAGATGAAGGATCAGCCCTGAAGATACTCTAAAGGGGAGGGAAAAAGAATAAATTTAAAGCTAGTTTTAACTTTTCTTAGTATTACATTTTAGTTTTTGTTTTTATCTAAACAACGAGAAATTTTGAAATGTCTCACAGTTTTAAAATTTCATACTTTTATTAAATGGAATTTTCAGGTGATGGTAAGTAATGCTGCCTTTAAAAAAATTGATGAGTATTCTTTAAGTTACTATAACTGAAAAAAAGGATTAGTTGGTAAGAGAAAGCTATTGCTCTGATTTAGAATCATAATTTTGTTGCTGTTTTAAAAATAGAGCCATTACTGAACGTGCACAGATTTCATGAACTATTCATTTGGAATGAGTAAAAAAAATGCCAGTTTAGAAAAGTTATAGGTTCTTTGGACTGATAATTTTCAAAATTCATTTTGATGATTTCTTTTTATGAAAAGTTTAGATTTGTTTCTGTTGGTGCAAATTATTGAGATAAAAATTCTTTTTTGTTTGTACAAATACAAGGTTCATCTTCTGCTGTGAAAGTAAATAGTTGTTGAGTAGTTTCTTTTATTTTTTCTCATAGATCATCAGTGTTAGTCCTTTTTTGCAGAATGTTTTAATATACAGTGGACATGATAATGTGTTGATTTTAGTGTCCGGTAACTCTAAAGTTTAGAGCATTGGGTTTAATTACTTACTCTACTTCATTTCAAAGTGCTACTATTTTAAAATGTGCTTTAAGTGCCATTTTATGCTGGTACTTAAAATAGAAACCATAATGTTAATACTTAAAATAAGAATTTTAATCAATTTAAAAATTATTATTAAATATTAAAAGGATTCACCCAGGTGTAAGTACATGTACTATGGAAATAGATTTATTCTTTTTGGGTATTATTGAGTATGTATTTTTAGTACTTCCATTTTTCAAAGTATAAGATTTCCTAACCAGGGAGTCACTGAAACCCTGATCTATATGGTGTATCTATCGAGCAAGAGTTCTGTGACCGATTTTTTTTAATAAACTTTTCTTCAGCTTTTTGATTTAATACTTGTATATGCATTTGTTGAGCATACTATAGTTATTATGCTCTGTTATTTTTTAATACTGACTACCTAAAATTAAGAATTTATGTGTGTTAAGAGTAAATTTTAGGAGTAATTCCAGATTGTACAGATAAACATTGTCACCAATTATCATAGCTAATATTCCTTTCTTACTGCAGGCCAGTTTTTCTGTGGAAATAAATGTTGTGATAAAAAAGAAGACTTGAAGAGTTGGGAAGTTAATTTTGGTTATGTTGAGCATGGTGAGAAGAGAAATGCGCTTGTTAAATTAAGTAAGTTGGCTTTAGGTGGGATATAATAGATTTCTTCAATTTTATCTAGTAATTTAGATTTAAAAATATACAGAGTAAAATTTAATTAAAAAAATTTAATGTATCTTTCTGGAAGTGCTCTTCTTTCTGAGTTTCCCAAAGTGACAAATAACTTTTTAGCCTATAATTTTTATATTCTCAGTATTATGGTGATATTTAGGTGAAACAGTTCTAATGCCAAATGTAAACCTACAATATGTAAAGTGAAGACCTCTTCCCGCTAACATGGGAATGTCACCAATGCAGAATGAGATGCAGAGTATCAGAAAAGGCAACGTAAAATCTCATGTTACCTGGTAGCCATATTGTTGTGGTGTGGACAATAAATACCCTCTCTTTGTGTCAATAAAGAGAAAAGTTTTAGGATGGCATAATTGTTCTTGATTCAGTCTTAAAAGCTTATTAAGGTTATACCCCAGAGTGCAGCAGCTTCTGTTAATATGCATGTTTTAGAATCTGTTGTACTTTCTTTTTTTCTTTTTTCTTTTTTTCCCATAAATTAAGCTAGTCTTATCTGTGTCAGCTTCTTCGGTCCATCATGTTAGCAACCTTCTCTGGGTCCTAAATAAATGTGCTTCGGAGTTTTCTGCCTACTCCCTATAGGAGTCAAGAATTTCCTCATGTGCTACTTAATGCACACCAATGCAGAAGTTCCTCCTAGAAGTGCTCATGAGGAAAAGTCAATTGGTGTGAACTGAGATTAAGGCAAAAGAAGAGGCCACAACTGTGGAACTTTCTGAAAAGCTCTTTTCTATTTGAAAACTCTGAAAGCACTTCAGAGGAAGTGACTATACCCACACTGTTGTTATTAGATATCTTTGATGTGAGATACACATTAATGCTGTATATGGAACAGAGTTTGCTTTTAGAATAAATTGACAGCACTTTTTTCTAAAGTAATGTTAGAATATTTTCTATTCCTCAACCATTCTGTTACCCTTTTTATTATGCATATGCATTTTTTGAGGTGGAGAGAATCAGATTTTTTTTTCAGATACTCTAAAAAAGGGATATGAGGAATAATAAGAATGTATGATATTAAAGGTAGAGTAGTAGTACAGTTAATTCAAATTCAGCCTTTAAGTGGTGTCACTTTTTTTTTTTTTAGGGTTGTGCCAAGAATGTTCCTTTAAATTAAATTTTCATCACAGGTAATATTATCTTTTAAAATGCTGTTGTTAACGATTAGTAGTCTTGGACATAGTCACTTACCTGCACTGAATGTCTAAATGTGGACTTGAGTGGTTGATGGTTTAATTAATTGATTATACAGAATATCCGGCATTACTGTGTGATACATCATACACATGTACTGGGGAACTGGAAGTTTGCCATGCCTTACTCTAGCCAAGCAGTTTTTGTTTGTTTGTTTGTTTTTAAAGATTTTATTTATTTATTTGACAGAGAGAGACACAGCGAGAGAGGGAACACAAGCAGGGGGAGTGGGAGAGGGAGA